ACTTGACGTGGTGCCGAGCTGAGGTGCTCCAAATGAAAAACCTGAACAGTAGTAGACCATTATCACATATTTTCACTGAACCTGAATATAAATTGAATATTCACGAATGAACAGACGGTTTTATAGAATGATGGTCGTTATGAACATGCCTTTAGTTGATGCATCTTTGTTGAGAGTTCCGAATGAGAACAATGGTTTAATAGTGGATGATGACGAGGACGATGTTGACGTATCTCCTTTTGTTACTGAGGCGATCGATGGGAATACTGGCGTTCTGAAATCGAACACCTGTATGCTTCACTAATCGAGCATTTATCTTAGGTAATATCTACATTTATTAGCAAATTAAATTTTTAATATCACCCACTGCTGCACGTTACACTCAGTGAACTCAATGGATGCACAAAGGAATATTTTATGACATAATTTAAAATATCACCGTTGTGGTGAACCGAAAATCAGTTTCTACCTGCAAATTTCTCAACAAACAGGACCTTATAATAAAATTTGAGAGATAGATGATTGAACAGACTTGAAAGTGGATGATGCTTGCAGCTTATCAGCTGCTTTGCCGCTATCAGTATTATCAGCTGCTTTGCCAAAAGTGAATAATGGTTTTATTGCAGTTGATGTATTACTGTCATTTGATGACGATGATTTCGAAGTACCAAACGAAATTGAGGTTGTTGCATTTGTGGTCGTTGACGACGAGGACATTTTCGAATCTGAAGCGCCGAGAAACGAAAATGGAGAGGAGACGACATTCTTCGGCTTATCTTCAGATGCAGCATCTCCTTGCGACTTATTCACGTCAACCGTGTTGTCTGACTTCGTGGTCTGCTGATCTTTCGCCGAACCACCAAACGAGAATAACGATTTGGGAGAGAAGATGTTCTGAGTTGACGAGTTGAGTGAAGACGCAGATGTGGTTTTAGTGTTTGTTGATTGTGGTTGTTTATCAAACGAGAATGGCATCGCTGTTTTGGGACTCTGAAATAAAGTTTTCTTCCTATTGCAAGCTTTAAAATTTCTTTTTATCGCAAATTTCCATTGTAAAATAGAATCAAATGTCTCATTTTCAATGCAAGCACCTGGTATGATATGATGACTTCAGATTCTTTCTCGTTCGGACCGCCTCGCTTCGCCCGTTTCTTACCTCGTCTTTCTGCAAAAAACCAACATTCTCGTTATCTTACGTTCAGTATTTGATGAATTATTACAATACCTAATAAAGTACGATTACCGGTAGGTGTATTTAAAATGAAACGGTTAAACGTTTGAAAAAAACAATATGTAACTTGCCGGGTGTTATTTGATGAAATGAACGAAAAACGTGACAACTGAATATCAGTAATGAAAATTACACGAACCACTCTCTGTGTTATCTTTATTCGAGTCATTCAGTGACGATGTACCACCAAACGAGATTTTTGTGGTCGTTGTGGTTGGATTGAAGGAAAAACCAGTGGACGATTTATTCGACTGATTGGTTTGATCAGACGGCTTTGTAGCTGACACTGTTGAAGATGTGGATAACGACGACGATGATGATGACGATAATGAGGGAGAAACTTCGCAATCTG